AGGATGTCCAAAGCATGCATGTCCAGGTATCTCAATGTATAGATTAGACAAAGTTACACGTGTGTAGTGCCCCACCAACTGTTTTGTTACTTTCCATAGTGCATAGTTTCTAGAAATAAAGATTTCAGATACCCTTTCACAAGCCTGTAAATAATATAATCCCAAATGTTGTAGTAGAAATATTTGTAATGTGTTTAAAAAGGAATGTTGCATCATGTATTCATTGTTTGTAAAAAATTAATGAGGTAAAATTTGTTTTGCCCCAGTTCATTTACATTGCAAAAACCACCCAGAACTTATGCATGTTTGTTGGTAGACACAAATAATATCAATACATATGAACACATGCACATACCAAGGCATATTGTTATTAAAATAATTTCAAGTTGGTGTTTTTATTCCTCAAAATAACTTGGAAAACATGCATTCACAGTGAGCAGAGTAGATCTGACATGTAGCTTGGTCTGGCGGTGTCACCTGCTTGTGTCAATAAGAAGTTTAATTCCAAACTCTTGAATTCCAGACAAGCAGGTGGCAAATCCTCCCCCAGAAAAGTTTCTTAGTGAGTCTTTAAGGTAGCAGGCCATTCATAACCCCACCCAGTATGCAGTAGATCATTATCCCATGTGTATTGTGCATCCAGTGAAGAATGTGTTTGATGTTCTAGGCTAGTGAAGAGTCTTAGGACAGAGGAGACAGGACTGGTGCCGTCTAGTATCCTCCAAACAGCGTCTGAAGGAGGTCACACTCTCTCTCTTTCCTTTCTCCTCTCTCCTCTCCCCTCTGTGCAGTCGTGCTCGCCCTAACCACCGCAGTGTGCACTCTGCTCCGGCACTAACTGACCCTTTCACAAATGTATTCCTCCTCCCTCTGTCTACACACTCCCACTACAATCACTTTCATTATTCACAGCACATGGAGCCTTGTTTCGTCAGAGGCTCTCCCCTTGCATAGCCCACATCTGTAGCCAGTATCAACTTAATATTAAAGGACACATATTATGCAAATTTGTCTTTTGAGTTGTTGTTCATCATCAAAAACATACTTCGATTTGTATTTTCCTAGCCAGGCTCGCGCCACCTAGTGTCTCCGCTAAATTTCATTTCTCACCAGCGACTAGGTCAGGAATCAGAATACACTAGACGGTTCGCAAAAACCCCAGAAGTGCGAGTTCGAGCACCAGCCAATCAGCGAAGAGTCATACATTCTGTGTTGGCAACGATTCCCGAGATTGAGGATTTAAAGCCAGAACGAAGAGAATGTTTGGTGAATTTTATCAAGGAGAAAGACGTTATTGTCCTTCTTCCTTCAGGATTTGGAAAAAGCTTAATATACAAGTTAGCCCCTTTAGTGTGACATTACATACGTCACGACGAAATAGCAGCGATTGGTTAAATGAAAAAGAAGTACCCGCCCACCATCGAGCAAACAAATTCTAATTCTGCGAGGTCAGACAGTTTCCACGAAGTGAAACCGGCTGCTGAATCAGGCTAGTATTTTCCTTCATTCAGGTTTCTTTCATGAATCCTGTTTACAAGGTTTTCTTACTCTGAGCCCCAGAAATCACTTTGTCACAATTTTCCCAGGATTGTGACATTATAGGTATAAATCCTGCACTATTTTTAGGTCCATAAACCCTTGCCAGACTCGTTCTGAGCTTTTCTGCCATCAAATTGTTTTCACTACAACTCCAAGCTTGTAATAGCATGCCAGTTGAGTTGCGTACATGGTTCATTCCCACTGCTGCCAGTAGATGTAAAGGCGCCTATCTGATAAAACATAATTTGCGTTTTCTATGCACAGCCATTATTTTAAGTTCAAAAACATGAGATACCAAAGCAAAGGTGCTCAATAGCATGTTCAAAGACCAGAAAGAGTACAAAAAATGCATAATATGTGTCCGTTGTTGTTTTTAGATCACATTTTAGCAGCTTGGAATGTGTACACTCAGCTGCTTTCTGTTATGTTGTTAACTGTAGGAGCACACGAAACAAGGGACGAGGGAGTAGGGAGCAGTTTTGGAAAGGGCCACGCTCAAACACTGCCCCCTAGAGATTGGGAGGGAGGCTCTTGTGCATAGGTGGAGTCTTGGGTTTGGTTCAAAAGTTGGAGCAGATGGAGGTGGCTTGTGAACTCAACATTTAGCGCATGAGGATCATCACTGTACGGGATTTTTTAGGATACAGGATATGAGTTTCAAATTAAATTCAAGCCACGCCTATTTTTGATACACTTCTAAGTCTTTTTCTGTTCCACAAAATGAATGACATTTGAATCACATCATTGCTCTGCTATCAATTTCCCATTTAGTCTTAGTAGTGCCTTTCTTACAAGTAAGGCCAATTTCACTCTACAGTTGTACAGTTGTAAGTATATAGGCCCGGAAAATGGAAATAATGGAAATTGACTAGCGGCAAGAGCACATCTCAAAGACTGAACTTAATAGAAAATAGAATATGCTTTGTAAAAAACAATCTCCATGGTTTCTTACTTTGTATAAAACCTGCTAACCATGTATTTTTGTTCTTTGTAGATCTAGACCGATATAGGCCGATATTTGCAGTTTTTACCATATCAGCTATCGACCTTAAATCTCTCGCAAAGGCCGATATTTATAACCAGTAGCCTAAAGATTACGCATAAAGCTTTATTTTAACATTTTGTAGTAAAACAGATTTGTGGATGAGTTCAGAGTCATTTCAAATCACTTAATTTAGGGAAAATAATCCAAATCAGCCTTGTAAATCAACCCCAAAATATCGTTTTCTCTAGATTCTAAACAATCGATATTGGGAAAACACACAGGTTGATCTCTAGTCCTTTACAGATATTCTAAAATGCATGTGATTCTTGCCTCTATATGCACTGCGATTATGCTCTGCTTGGGTCCACCTCCTTTAAGCCAGTTGCTTTTAGAACACTGAAGGGTCCTATATTAAGCAAAATTGACTCAAAAACAGACCTGAAGTTGTGTTTTGTTTCATTTACACACGTTTGGGTAACGCTTTATTATTATTCTCTCTACATCTCCAATGCTCAAAATGCTCTATTCCACCTTGTAATAACATGAAGCTATAGTTTTGAAAATCACAACTACCTTTTAGCTTTTGTTCAGTAGAGATTTGCAATTCTAGGGTTGATTTTATCCAAATGATTCCAATGAAAGTGTATGGAGTTTAAACACACAATGCACAGAGTGTTTCTGAGCTTAAATATGCAATGTTTGTGTGCTAAACACACATACATGAATGAAACAAAACTCAACTCCAGATATATTTTTGACGAGGAAACATCACAATATTGATCAGAAAATAGCGTAATATGGACCCTTTAAAGAATGAAACACGCTTTATAGTCTTGCCCGCACTATAAACAAAACACAAATGTTTCTCTATCTGATTCTTATGACTTGACTGGTACATATAGCATTGTTACATTAGTATTTGGTTTGCCCCCGTAGTCAGATCCTGCTGTGGCCTATATGCACTGATTGTCCGTATGTCTCTCCTCCTCATGCCCCCTGGCCTGCTCTTTGAGGCTGTGTTATCGGCATGCACTCTTGGCTGTACATGCCCCATCAAAGCCACTGTATTTAAACCACCGACTGTGAAAAGGGAGTGTTACGTCATAATTACAGCATGGAAATTTTCATGCCATTGCAGCTGCATTAGAAGTTGATAGCCTTTTTGCATCTTTAACTTCAAAACAAAAGCAGATTATGTTGAAAATAGTCTTAAAAATGCACTTTGTAATATGTTTTGAATATTGCTGGCAGGATTTTATGTTAATAGCTTAAAAATAGCTTGGTAACTAAAGACTAATTTATGGTAATTACATGCAAATCTACTATATTTCATGATAGTAAAACTAATCCTAAATAGTATTAGTAATAATCTGAAAACATAGTGGTAGAATGCATTTAAAGGAGCACTATGTAACTTTCTGTTGGAGGGTCTGTCATGTTTTAGTCTCTTGATAAGGATATTGCTTATTAATATCCTGAATAACAATTATGTTTTTGTAAGATGGGTCACCATTTCATAGATTAGATATTTCAAACTCAGGACCAGGGGCCAAATTTGGTCCACGATATAATTATATTTGGCCCGCGAGATCACATCAAATATGTATTAGAGCTGGCCCGCTGGCTTCAAATAGGCTATAGAGACATTATTTATTAAAAAAATTTGTTATTAATTTATATTATGCTTGTTCTGGATTCAATCTTTAAGCAAAACTATTATTAAACATTCATTTTAATAAGAAAAGTTTTAACATTACATATCTTTAAAGAAGAGAAAATATGCAGATATTGTTGAAATTTTTCAATAAATATTTAGTTGGGCTCATGACTTAGGCAAGACAAGGCAAGGCAAGTTTATTTGTATAGCACAATTTATACACAAAGTAATTCAAAGTGCTTTACAGAATAAGAAATACATTAAAATCACAATAAAACACATCAAAACATAAATAATCATCATAAAATTAAAGATTAAATTAACTTAGATTAAATTAGAGAGAAGAGTGCAGAATGAAAACCTTTCAGTCAATATGCACAGTTAAACAGACTTAGTTCCAGTTTTTAATTTTTGGCCCTCTGTGAATTTGAGTTTAATACCCCTGCCGTAGATCACACCTGTATATTGGCCTATTTTGATCATAAATAAATGTAATGCTATACTGTGGAACATTCCAGGTAAAACAGGTGGCGGACCCTCCTTCAGGAAAGTTATATATTGGACCTTTAAAACTTGTTACGCCAACTACCGAAGTTGATTTGATTATTTGACTTTTCCAAGATGATTCTACTAGTAATCAATTGTGTTAAGCCCTAAGCCCTGAGTAATTATATAAAATTGTCAATAGCGTTTAGTTTCTGGCCATGCTCACTCCACTCCCTTTGACTCTCAGTGGTTTAAATGTAGCTTGTTTGCACTAAAACTCCACAGCTTTACAACGTCAGTTTAACTAACTCGTAATTGTTTATGTCTTTTCAGATATCTTCAGCGACCTGTGCACAGCAGCGCTCTCTGACTCAGATGAGAATGAAGCCAGCACATGGGGAGACATTTCTGAGGGACACTGAGAAACCTCCATGTTTGTAGTTTTTTTCTATTGGACTACAAGACAATGATGTAGCATTATAAAGCCTCAAACTCAAAAGGCTGAATTTTACACACTGAAACTTAAGTATTGAGTAACCTGCACTTGAAAATAAGTATCACCTGTTGATATTAAGGACTGTTTTGGACTTTTTACTTCCTGGAAACCAAGCTGGAATGTCTGCTGCCTGAAAGACCATTTGCACCATCTTTCCCCATAAGATTTCTCTTCACTTTCAACTTTTTATCAACCTGTTTTTGTGGATTCAAAATAGAGAACTTGGTGGATGTTTGACGCAAAATAATATTGTCACTCACTGATATAACTTAAAAACTATAAATTGTTTAAATCTTGATTCAAATGGACATAGACGACAGTGGAAATGACTCGAACCATAATAGGATTGAACAAAATCATGCAGCAAAAGAAGATGCCAAAATTGTTCATGTTTGTGTAGTTAAGGGGAAGTAAGTAATTATCCATCAAGTATTACCTGTTATTGCAAAATTTAGCCAAGTTTCTGGTAGAGGTTTGTTGGATTAAAAGCCAAATAAATTTTTTTGGGACCTTTTTAGAATTCAAAAGATAGAATATTTTGATTGAAATTCTTAATTACCACAAAAACAGTGGACATTTTTTAATCACACTGAAACATGTGGAAAGATATAAGAAGGCAAAAACGAAAACTGATATTAAAACTTTTAATCCAAGGTTTAATAGATTTTTTTTAAAATCTAGTTATTTTGTCAAAATATTTAAGAAAAATTCAAAAACTGTTCAATCGTTCAGACCATTATACTAGACCTATACCAAACCACAATCTGAAAATTTGGCTTTTACTTTTGCAATCATTTTGTCCATATCATATCAGAAATGTTACTCTTACTTCTTCTTAACTACAATTTCCAAAAACTATGTTCATTCATTGTTACGTTATGACCGTACATTACCTCTATAGGCTGCATTAAGAAAAAGCCCAGGTTCAGTGGATTACCTTGTCTCATCCCCCTATTTCTATAAATGGGCTACAGTTGGGCATATCCACCGCAAACGCTGGATTTTAAAAGGGACTTGTACAAAGCATACATTTTTTAAGAAGACTTTTTTTTGCAACCTCTTCCCACTCCTCCATTCTCCCTCTGTACTTCGTTTTAATCCAGATAAATCTTTTTTTTCCCCCCGCAAACGTCTCAATTTCAGATAATACGGCGCTGCTCCTGTGTGAAGTGCCTCTAATTGCTGGGTTTGCACCAAGCTCTGAGCCCGATATCTGGCCGAGCAGATAGTGTTTATCTGCTTCATCTGTACAAGGAGGATCGGAGCGAGATAGGAAACATGAGAGGAGCCGCAGAGATGAGGAAATACAAGTGAGATAAGGTGAGAAGTGAGCTACAAAAACTGTGCATTTCTTACATGTTCTAGAGATATAGTGGAATCTGTTCGTATTTATGACCTTGACAAATATGATAGGAAAAAATCTGTGAAAATATAGAGATTAAAGGTACAGTATATGACTTTCTAGAGGTGTCACCTTCATAATTGTAAGGAAATAGAAAGTTAAAACCATACTTTGGAACATTCTCCTTCAAGACGTTTTTGCCAAATTTAAAACCATAGGCAAAGGAACAATATTTCCAAGGCCAAACAAGAGTCAGGTTTGTGGAGATGCAAGCCCGCTCACAGTAAGGACGCATGTTTTTCAGAGCAATAACGCAACCCAAAGTTAAAACATGGTTTTATTTTAGTCTGTTTTTTTGGCTAAAAGTAAAAAAATCTAAAAGTACTAACCCTATTTAAAAAGTACCAGGAATTGCAGGACCATTCTTATTCTTAAAAGTTGGATAATATTGCTTGTATATTTAACGCATATTAAACTTACTGCACAGTTTTTGCATCTAAATTTTGGTTTCGTTCACATTATTGTATTCGATGATATCTCTATTGATTAATATGGAAAGCCAGTGTCCTTATTTTGTTGTAGATGGACCATTTGTTTTGAAAATCTAATTGTGAATCTGAATTTTTAGATTAGAATAATATTTTGTGGCATGATGCACAAAGTATGCCAGAAATTTTCAGAGCTTCATTTGAATTTTGAGAATCAGGATCATCAGCAATCATTGTCATTTTTTTCAAATTACAGAAGAAGGTAGCATTGTCAGTAAAAAGGAGTGGACAAACAGTAGTTGAAAAATGTTATCTTAAATCAACGTATATATTTTTCTATACAATGTCCAATACACCATTTTATTTTTCCACTAAGAGGCTAACCCCGCATGCTGCAGCCGTTATAATGGGAACGCTATCTTACTCACAATGATAAATGGTAGATTCTCTTTTTCAGATCTCTACCCAAATAGATTTTTCTCTTGTTCCTCGGCCAATTACTGACTCAAAACACCTACAGGAAATACAACAAAAGCGAACTCTTGTTTTAACATTGCCCACTCAACAAAGCAACTACATCACAACATGAATTTGAACCATCACTTCAGCTGAGCATCATATTAACCAACGTGAGTACAAAGAGAGGTAACAAATACATTTTCTTAATCAAATCGAATCGAGTCTTTTCACCAATGGAGCAGATGTTTGGACAAAAATGTAATGTACCATTTAGTATTGTCAGTCATATTAGAATTTTAACACATTAAAATTTTAGTTTAGCGAAAATGTGGCATTCACAAAGGCATAAATGTTTTAGGGAAGTCAATGTAAAATGATAAAATCAACAGAATTTTAATCACGAAATTATCACAGACAAAACAGCCATAGCCCCAAATGAAAGTCAAAAGCTGCTTGCAAGTCGTGACTTGGACTCAAGTCAAACTTGAGTCACTGTTTTTAGGACTTGAGACTTGATTTGATAAAATAGACTAAGACTTGGGACTCGACTTAGACTTGAAGGTCAGTGACTCAGGGCTTGACTCAGACTTGAGGTCTGTGACTTGAGAAGACTTGAGAATCACTTTTAAATCTGAATTCTTTCTATACTGACCGTAATGATTCACACTCTTGTCCAGACATTTAAAAAAGAAACATTTGCATTTCTACAACTCTTATATACTCTATAAATACTCTATGTCTATATCTAAATATACCATGATTTTAAGTACAAGTTTAGTTTAAAAATCATATAAATTGCAAAAATCTAAGATATATTTGGTACTTTTGTTTAAAGACTTGAAAAGACTTGAAGCTCAAAGCAGTCGACTTGGACTTGACTTGGATTTATGGGCCAGTGACTCGGGACTCGACTTGGACTTGCCTGTCTTTGACTTGGGACTTGAGTCGGACTTGAGGACAAAGACTTGAGACTTACAAAACGACGACTTGGTTCCACCTCTGCTGCTAAATGGGACAAGACCTGTGCTCAAATATATGTGAAGAAAAGTGCATGTAGGGGCTATAAAATATAAATAAAAAATGTTAAATTAAATAAAATGTAACGCTTGTAGTTGCTGTCAACATTAGCTATTCTTCCAGTTAACTTTTTCTAATATTTGACCCCCTAATCTCATGAACACAGACTGATTCCACATTTAACCGGACATACAATCAGATTACAACACAACACAGCCTATTCCAATTCCACCATTATTCTATTTGGCCCCCGGATTACAAACAACCATGCATGCGCTTTTATTTAAGACCTGACAGCGCATGAGGCTCGCTGCATGATTTGTGTCACCGATGCCACATTTGCTAACATTCTTTTAAGCTAATGACTTCTAAATGAGCTTCCGGCAGAACAGACACACGCCGCTATCAATCACCAGCGACGCTTTTGGGGCCGATCCGCGAGAAGAGGGAGAAAAAGAAAGGAAGAGAGGGAGAGAGGAGCGGGCATAAAATGACTTGGGATGTAAATTAGGAACATCTCTTGCTTAGATGAATTGAATGGCGAAGATGTAAATCACGTTGCGAAATGCCATGCTATACTAGCCGCATTCTGTTTTTCTAATAGGATTGCCCGGCTTTGTGCGAGCATTTCACACTTGTTCTTGATTTGCAGGCGTAAACTACAAACCGTGCAGGCTCTATCTTAAAGACGGCGGCGATGCAGTCAAGCGCACGCCAGGATTATTGAGTACATAGCTGGATTTAAGATGATGTCACAAAATTCTATAGGCCAAACATATTTAAACGTGCATTGTGTAACTTTTTTGGTGGAGGGTCCGTGAAATGCTTTTTGAGATGCTTTTGCTTTGTCTGGAATGTTTCACAGCATGGTATTAAACATTTTTATCTTCGTTAGGGCTGGGTATCATTAAGAAGTTGCTGATACAATACATACCTCGATACTTAGGCCTCGATACAATGCACTTTCGGTTTGATACGATATGTTTGACATCGATTCAATATGGTTCAATAAAAAATAAAGGATAAATCATGGCTGTGATACTAAAAGTCTTTGTTAAACCACTTCTTGTGCAAAGGTACTACGAAACACACACATTTTAATCCTCAAAACAGTGAAAATGTCAAGTTTCCTCTAAACAAGCAGCAAAACTGTAGCTCTGTAACAAAATAATTGAGTAAAATATACCAAAAAATACTCTTGGTGCTATATCGATACAGCAGCCCACGATATCAATACTGTATCAACACATTAAAAGATTCAGTAAATCAATATTGTGATGTTTTTGCACACCCCTAAACCCATGAAGACCAAATCAGACCAAGTTACAGGATCAGATCTGTGGAGAGGCAATCCCGCTCAATTAGAATAGATCTTTTTTTAAGTATTTTCGAGCTGTAAAACCATCTGTAATTGAATAAATGTAAGTTAGAGCTGTTTAATGTCATACTGTGGAACATTCCAGACAGAGTAATGACATAACCATAGAAACAAAACCTCCAACCAAAATGTTACATAGTGCACTTTTCATGTAGATGGGGGCTGCTAAAATAAATATAGTTAAATTCAGATTTCTGTTGTGACACAGTGAGTTTTAGGGTCTAGTCACTAATAGAAATGATCAGATTCAACATTTGAGAATTGGTGGTTTTCAGATTCAAGAAGGTGATAATTAGTGACGGGACAAGATCTCACGAGACAAAACTGCCACAAGACTGTGCACAAAGGAGAAAAATTATCTCGTGAGATTGTTTCCCCTTGAATTTACCTTTGGCTTGGACGGAAAAAAGAGTTGAGAGCTGTTGAGTTATGCAGTTTCAGAAGCTGTAGTTCCAAAAAGCAGCACTACAATGACTGTTAAAGTATTACATAAAATAAATGAAGCAACATAGTGAAATGATTGCACTGCTTAGTTATAACAAATTATGTCGAAATTTCATCTTGTCTCCCAGTCTGAACCCAGTCTCGTGGTGTGTCTCGTGAAAATTGTGTCTTGTCCCGTCCCTAGTGATAATGTCCCAAGTTCCAGATGAGGGAGCAAGAGCCAGTTTTCCCAATTGATTACATTGTACTTTGCCATTAAAAATATCCAAAAGTTAGGGCCTGTTTACATGGGAACGCTTGCGGGTAAAAACTACAAAATATTTTATTGGAAGTGCCTTTCGCCGAAAAAATCTGAAACAACCCTCCAGCGTGGAAAAGTTGAATACACTCCGCTGTAGCGTTTCCATTTACACAGCCAAAGACGCAAAACTCTGGTCAGATCTGCACACGTTGCTTAAGCGTTTACGTCACATTCATCACCAACACGCGTCTGGCATGCATACCCAATCGAATTCCACACACTTTTGCGTCACCGTATGCACGCTGATTTGCTCCCGAAAACGTTCGTCTAAACGCGGAATAAAAAGTGAAGACGCGACGCCACTTTTGCGTCTTCTGTTCAGATCGTCGTCATAGAAACGTAGCCCCAAATTCACAAATGTTGAACATGATCATTTCAGAGGGTGGTCAGAGGGACCAATGGCGCCGATTGGCATGGCAGCTGTGCTTCTGTCAGTATGCCCCAGGGCAGCTGTGGCTACAATAGTATTAATAGTAGGAATAGTAGTAATAGTAGTAATAGTAGTACCATCACCGTGTGTGGAGAGAAAAGAATAATGAATCTATAATGCTCTGTTAAGCGTTTTTGTGATATATGTCTATGGAAAGCGTTATATAAATAAATACTGACTTACTTACTTACCTTGGAGGACTAAAGAAAAGAGCGACGGATAAGGATGGGCGGGGTCTAGAGGTATGAGGAACAGCGTGATTGGTCCAACCTGTATCCGCACTTTAAACTCCTCCCCTACAGTAAGGTATTTGGGATAAAAAATGCCAGGGTAGTCTTGAGTGATGTCACCAACTACTTGAAATTGCAGAACAGATAGGCGTTTCTTGACCAGAAAGCTGCAAGTTTACCTCGTTTGC